AGAAAGGAATCCATCAAAATCCTTGAGGAGAACACAGGCAGCAACCTCTTCAACCTCAGCCGCAACAACTTCTTCCTAGGAACATCATCAAAGGCAAGGGAAGCAAGGGTAAAAATGAACTATTGGGACTTCATCAAGATCAAAACTTTTGCACAGCAAAGGAAACAGTTACCAAAACCAAAAGACAACTGACAGAATGGGAGAAGATATTTGCAAATGACATATCAGATAAAGGGCCAGTATCCAAAATCTATAAAGAGCTTAGCAAACTCAACACCCAAAGAACAAAGAATCCAATCAAGAAATGGGCAGAGGACATGAACAGACATTTCTGCAAAGAAGACATCCAGATGGCCAACAGACACATGAAAAAGTGTTCCACATCACTTGGCATCAGGGAAATACAAATCAAAATTACAATGAGAGGGGCGCCTGGGTGGTTCAGTGGGTTAAACCCTCTGCCTTCGGCTCAGGTCATGATCTCAGGGTCCTGGAATCAAGCCCTGCTTCGGCTTCTCTGCTTATCAGGGAGCCTGATTACTCCTCTCCCTCTGCCTGTCTCTCTGCCTACTTATGATCTCTGTTTGTCAAATAAATAAATAAATTAATTAATTAATTAAATCTTAAAAAAAACCACACACACACAATGAGATACCAGCTTGCACCAGTCAGAATGGCTTAAATTAACAAGTCAGGAAATGACAGATGCTGGCGAGGATGCAGAGAAAGAGGAACCCTCCTACACTCTCGGTTGGAATGGCAGGTAGTACAGGCACTCTGGAAAACAGTATGGAGGTTCCTCAAAAAGTTGAAAATAGAGCTACCCCATGACACAGCAATTGCACTACTGGGTATTTACTCTAAATGTAGTGATCCGAAGGGGCACGTGCACCTGAATGTTTATAGCAGCAATGTCCACAATAGCCAAACTATGGAAAGAACCTAGATGTCCATCAACAGATGAATGGATAAAGATGTGGTATATATATATGTGTATATATATATATACATATATATATATACACACATACACACCCACATACACACAATGCAATACTATGCAGCCATCAAAAGAAATGAAATCTTGCCATTTGCGGCAACATGGATGTAACTAGAGGGTATTACATTTAGTAAAATAAGTCAATTGGAGAAAGGCAACTATCATATGGTATCCCTGATATGAGGAATTGGAGATGCAATGTTGGGGTTTTGGGGGGGTTGGAAAAGAATAAATGAAACAAGATGGGATCAGGAGGAAGACAAACCATAAAAGACTCTTAATCTCACAAAATAAACTGAGAGTTGCTGGGGGGAGGGGGGGGGGGAGAGGGTGGTGGGGTTATGGACATTGGGGAGAGTATGTGCTATGGTGTGTGCTGTGAAGTGTGTAAACCTGGCAATTCACAGACCTGTACCCCTGGGGCTAATAATACATTATATGTTAATAAAAAATAAAAATAAATAAAAAGAATAAATAAAGTCTAGTTGTCTAAGTATCACTCCTCCAACTTTCTTTTGATGTCCATTTGCATGGTAAATGTTGCTCCATTCCCTCCTTTTCAATTTACAGATGTCCTTAGGTCTAAAATGAGTGTAGGCAGCATATATATGGGTCTTGTTTTTTATCCATTCTGACACCCTATGTCTTTTGATAGAAAGTTCAGTCCATTCATATTCAGAGTCATTATTGATAGGTATGTCTTTGTTGCCATTTTATTACTTCTTTTGTCACTTTTTTTTCTGTATATTTTCTGTGTTCATTTATTTTCTTGTTACTTGTGGTCTTTTCTCCCTCTGCTCAAAGGGCTCCCTTTAATATTTCTTGCAGGGCTGATTTAGTGGTCACAGTCTCCTTTCCTTTTTATTTGTCTGGAAAACTCTTTATCTCTCCTTCATTCTTTTTTTTTTTTTTTAAGGTTTTTTTTTTTTGAAGATTTTATTTATTCATTTGACAGACAGATCACAAGTAGGCAGAGAGGCTGGCAGAGAGAGAGAGAGAGAGGAGGAAGCAGGCTCCCTGCTGAGCAGAGAGCCCAATGCGGGGCTTGATCCCAGGACACTGAGATCATGACCTGAGCTGAAGGCAGAGGCTTTAAACCACTGAGCCACCCAGGTGCCCCCTCTCCTTCTATTCTGAATGATAATATTGCTGTATAGAGTATTCTTGGCTGCAGATATTTTTTCCCCATTCATCACAGTTTCTCTGGGGAGGTCTGTAGCTTAGATGGGTCTTCCCTTTTAAGTTGGTTACTTCCACTGTCTTTCTGCTGTTAGGACTTTTTTGTGTAACACTGTATTTTTATTACAATGTGTTTTGGTATTGGCCTACTTTTGTTTATTTTAATGGGAGTTTTTTGTGCTTCTTAGATTTGGATGTCTGTCTCCTTCTCCAGAGTAGGAAAGTTTTCAGCTATCATTTCCTCAAATAAATTTTCTACCCTCTTTCCTCTCTCTTCTGGGGCTCTTATGATATAAATGTTATGTTTGATGATGTCACTGATTGTAAGTCTAATCTCATGTTCCATAATTATTCTTTCTCTCCTTTGTTTAGCTTCATCATTTTCCATTATTTTCTCTTCAATATCACTCATTTTTCCTCTGCTTCTTCTATCCTTGTGTTCATTATAATCAGTCTGTTTCAAATCTGTTATTATGTTTTTCATTTCTAACTGATTCTTTTTTTTTTTTAACTCTTTTATCTTTACATCAAGAGTCTCTCTGAAGTCTTCTATTCTTTTCTCAAATCCAGGGAGTATCCTTGAGGTTGTTGCTCTAAATTCTCCATCGGGCATGTCCATATAACCTTTGATTAGATCTCTGGCCATGACCTCATCTTGTTTCATTTGGGATGAATTCCCCCATCTTGGCATTTTGTCTAAGTAACTATCTTTTGTGTGTTAGAAATTCTGTTGTGTTCCCTATTCCTGAGAGTAATGACCTTATAAAGAAGAGGTCATATAGTGTCCAGGGCTTGACACTCAGGGAGTGTCTCTGGTGTGTGTTGTGTATACTCTGCTGATGTGTTTTGGCTGTTCTATTCTTCAGGCCAGTCTTCTCCAAAGGCTTTTCTTGTGTGTATATGGCAGCATTTGGACCTTGGCCAGAATGTGGTGAGTTTTATCTAGGTATGCACTGGTCTACTTGATAAATGAGACATTATGTTTCTTCCACTAGAATTGGAGCTTTACAAAAATATATGTTTGGGAGACATAGTATGGATGACTAACTCCACTGGGATTTAGTCAACTTGGACCAAGAAAGGCAGTACTGGTAGAGTGCATATTTGTGGGACTTGGTATAAGCAGATTAGGCAGTCAGTGACAGTGCTCTGCATTGAGCAGACACTAGTGCAGGTGGTTCTGTGCTTATGTGGAGGGTGGGGCAATGGCAACAGGCAGTTCCTTTCTCCCAGCATGGGGGTTTCCTTGTTTGCTGCTTTCAGGAAATCACTTCCAGAAGAGCAAATGATCTCTGTTGCACATCCAAGTATTTTTTTGGATCACTGTTTTCATGCTGTCTGTTTCTTGGTTGTTTTCCTGCCTTCTCTCTAGGAGCATCTCAGTGCTTTCCAGACTCTATTCCTGCCAAGTCTGCTGACTTTTAAAACTCCAAACTTTAGGAACATGGTATGTGGGTGGCGGCCCACACTGGTCTTCTTGGAAGGCTCTTGCTGTGCTGGGACTGATGCAGGCTTATTCAAGGCAGACAGCTTGGTGCAAGCAGGCTAGGCAGTGTGTGTTGGACCAAGGTGCCCTTGATAGGTGGCTTCATGCCTATATGAAGTATCAAGGGAGGGCTATGGCATCCACTGGCTCTTTTGTCCCCTAAGAGACATCCTTGTCAATACCTCCTCTCACAGACATGCTCCTAGAAGAGCAAACAATCTCCTTCCTGCATGCCTCAGGTGCCTGCTAACCTTTAAAACTCCAGTCTCCAAGCCCTGTTTGTTGCAAAAGCTCATGACAATCAGCCGCTCTCATTTTTCTAGCCAATGACTTTGGGGTGAATTCTCCTTTTGTACTACCTTGTGTGCTCTACTCTCATATGCCTCTCTCTGTGACCAGGTTCCCTCCCCTCTGCAGAATGCATGATCCATATCTCCCCCAAACTGTATCTCTGTACTTCTTGCCTTCTTCAGTGTGGTCTTTTCTCTCCCTCTATTTGTGGAATTTGTTCTGTCTATACTCAGGCTGATCTCTTAGGTATTCAGAATGATCCAATAATTATCTAGTTCTGTTCAAGGGACAAGAGGGACCTTGGGTCCTCCTACTATGCTACCATCTTAGCTGTCCTCTTAGGTACCCTTTGTTATATTTTTCTGGCAAAATTTAAAAACGCCCATTAACACAAAAGGCACTGCATTACAATTACAACTTTACTTGTCTCTCTATCATAATAATCTATTTTTAAAGTAGGAACATGTATTATTTCCAACTACATTCATAACTTCTAAAATTGTCTCTTAACTAACTAGGCTGCCAGTAAACATTTATTCAATGAATAAATGTGTAGAAGACAATGCAGTCAAGAACATGTCCACCCTACATTTTAGTATTAAGAACTTAGTATATGACCAGGTTTAAAATTTAATCTATAATAAGAAGACAATAACCTTATCAATGACTGAGGTTAAGGATCAGTTTGTGGTCAGGGACAGGTCACTCTCTAGCCATGATTAGAAACTCAGACTATAGCCAAGGTTAACTTCAGATCTAGAGAAGGTTAGATGCTCAGTCTGTATCCAGGCTTAAGTTCAGTAAAAGGCTTCATGTGTGACCAGTATTAAGGATGTCTGGTCAAACTAAAGACCTAAGATATGTACCCTGTTCTGAGATAAAAAATGAATACCTCATAGATATAAATTAAGGCTGTGTGCCCTGGTTAATATTCTTATTTAAGTTCTCAAAGAGCAATGGAAAAAAAAAAAAAAGATCAAGCCAAGGGCCTGAAGCAGAGGTGCTACACAACCTTTGTCCCTTCAACTATGTGTTCCCACTCACCAGGTGCAGCAGCCAGTGGCCATCCAGTGCTAGATTCTAGCACTCCATGGGCATGAACAGAGTAGGGACGGCTGGCATTATTCTTGAACACCACAGTTAAGATATCACCAACCTCTCCTTTGAGAAATGGACCTAATATATGTAAAAGAAGAGAAAGTCACATTAGTGGAGTAGTTGAACAGGGATACTAAAGGCATTGAAGAAAAGGACATACATATGGGGCTCCCTAGAATTAGGGGTTTCAGTCATTAGAATTAAAATCATAACAGGTTCATTTTTTTTTTTTTTTAGTTCAGAAGCCCTTACACAGACAATGGCACCTACAGGATGAGGGTACTTCAACAAGAAGACTGTGCCTCCACTTATCCCTATTTTCCCAGACCAAATCTCTATCTATTATCTATTATATATTTTCTATTATCTATCTATCTATCTATTTATCTATCTATCTATCTATCATCTTTCTCTATCATCATCATCATCATCATCTATCATCTATGTAATTTCATAAGGATCTAGATAATTTTAGGACTCTATGGAATCACTCTCAGTAAGGACTAAGAGTTTGGCACAGAGTAAACAAACAAACAAACAAACAAAAAAACCTGATGGGTCCCTTCAAGGACCAATAGCTTTCTTCTATGTGAGGACAAGAATGAGGAAACTAACTGGCCCTTAATCAATAATTAAACTGGGGTGCAAGGATAATACTGGTTCCCTGTACATCATTTTTCTTACTCTTTGATATTCTTAACTTCCCCTGCTTTTAGTATTTTTAAAACATGTATAACTGTCAGAGATCCCTAGGGATATTCCTGGAAAAATATGGCTCATGTTGCAGTAGAATTCATAAATCTCTCCACTTTGATTGCTTATTTTTATGGCTGATTTTAAAATTATGACTACTGTTCCATTTACCATAAGGAGAAACTAACAGAAAGAAATAAAGAGGCCTTCCTGATATGATGTAGCCCTCCTAGGAGCATCATAAACCTCTAGATCCTAGGAGGAACTCACTTACCTAATATTCCCAAGTGTTCCTCTGATCCAGTCCGTGGCCGAGGGATCTTGAATGTACCATCAGTGTATTCTCTGAATACAGCTTTCTTGTATCTGGAACCCAGGAGCCCATTCTGGTTACTCAGAAAGATGTGACCATAACTAGAGGAATCCAAAAAGTGGTATCAGCACCTGGCCTTGACCCCTTATTTTCAGGTATGAGAAAGCTAAGTCAGACCCAACATCATACCACAGACAGAAGAAAGAGAAGACATACTCTTTCTAATGTCAGATTTCCTGCATTGGCTGTATAACTGCAATAAAGATACCAGATCTAAATACCTGTATATGTTTCCTTGTTTATCATAATCTAGATTATAAGTTGTAATATAATTACTATGAATCAGAAACTCTGGGTTTTAGCTCTCGTCTCCGTTGGATGTCTCAGTTGGAATTATTTTGACAAATAGACAAGTTATAGGATGGAAGGAGAGCACTAACTGCTGCTGCTGCTCAAGAACAAGGAATAGGAAGAGTTAAGGAGTAAATGGAATTTTACAGATTACCCCTTATGGGATGCTTTCCTGTTTACAAATAACCATATTTTTTTAATCATTTGAGATTTCCAGTAGAATAATGAGGTAGGTAGAAGTAGAATCAGTAGTCCAGAAGTGACAGAACTTATCTTCATTGATACTGTCAGACAGAAAGGGAGCTAGAACTTGGATACAACTCTTCTGCTTCTTCCTTATTTCCTTCTAATCAAGTTCTTTCACTTTATTGATTTATTGATTTATTTAAATTCAATTAGCCAACATATTGTACATCCTTAGTTTCAGAGGTAGAGTTCAATAATTCATCATATACCACATCACTTTAAAGATGAGCAAACTAAGTCCCAGGTAAGAAAAGTCACTTTCCCTATGTTTCAGAACAAGTTAGCAAGAAGATTTTATTTGTTTATTTATTTTATTCTATTTTGTTAACATGTAATGTATTATTTGCTTCAGGGGGTACAGGTCTGTGAATCACCAGTCTTACACAATTCACAGCACTCACCATAGCACATACCCTCCCCGATTCCACAACCCATCCACCCTATCACTCCCACCCCACCCCCCAGCAAATCCTTAGTTTGTTTCCTGAGTTTAAGAGTCTCTTATGGTTTTTCTCCCTCCCCGGTCCCATCCTGTTTCACTTTTTTCCCCTCCCTTCCCCCCACTACCCCCAAGACTTTAACAATCAACAACTGACAAAGAAGACAGGAATTACTAAAGAGTTGTGAGGGCACCAGAAATAATTGTAGTGGAAATTGCTAAACTGTACTTCAGTTTCTGTTTTCCTCCCCTTCCTTTTTAGCAGTAGAATCACCTAGATTTTAGCTGAATTCATGACCACATAACCATGGATAACAGATTACATTTTCCAGGCTTTATTTTTTAGTACAGTTGACATACAAAGTTACATTAGCTTCATGTGTACAACACAATGATTGGATAAATATATACATTAGTGCCATATTCACAACTATAGCTACCATCTGCCTCAGTACATCTCTATTACAAAATCATTGGCTATATACCTTATGGTGTACCTTTATTCTGTGACTTATTTATTGCATTACTGGAAGCTTGTATATCCCACTCCACTTCATTTATTTTTTCCAACCCTCCAACCTCTCCAAGTCCCAGACTTTCTTGCAACTAGGTATGGCCACATTTGTAAATTCAGAATAATGGGTTATGAAAGAAAGTGATGTATACAACTTTTAAGTCATTACCTTACAGATACTGCTGCTTGCCCTGGACTGCTTTCCCCCTTTTATGATTGCTGGGAATGACTATAAGTAACACAGACATCTTAGTTTCAGAGATAAAAGAAAGTATTATGGGTGATTAGTTTACCTACTGGCCATGGGCTGCTTATATTTATACTATTAAGAAATAAAATTCTACTCTCACTACTTTATGTTGGAATTTTTCTGGCTGTGCATCTTAGCTGTACCTTAGTGACATTTTTGTCAAGTGACAGGTAAGCTTGGGGTGTTCAGTCCTTTGAGTAAGACCTCTATAATATTTAAATTCTGTTGTAGGTGCTATAAACAACTAAAGGAAAAGAGTAAAAGATCAAGAGCATGAAGGTATGGGCAAAGTCTTTTACTTCAGATCCGTCGGTATAGTAATATAGAAGAAGCACTGAGTTCCAGCTTATCAACATCTTAGTACCTGTTCCAGATTTGCTGGTATCTTATTAGGTTACTTTAGATAACTGTTTCCTTTTCTCAGTACTTCAGTATCTTCTTTATCTGTAAAATGGTCCAGAGTCTCTGGAAGTGTGATCTCTTATTTTCTGAAACCTTACCTTTCCTCCTCAGACTGATTGTGCCATTCCAGTTCCCAGCTCCTGTCAGGGCAATAGTCCCACTCCACCTCTTCTGCCATGATGTAGTAGATTCTTGCAGCCTGGTATCGTTGGTGATCATCAGCTTGATGGCCTGGACACTGGGAGACATTATAGACTGCTTTCATCCCCGATTCTCTATGGCTGCCTGCCTGGCAGTAAATTTCAAACATCCCTAAGGAAGAAACAGAGGGAAAAACCTGAATGTGAATATCCCTGTGTAGTCCCTGGGGGATTGTCTGCCTCTTTCTGGGCATACAGTAGAGTGTGGGTAGTTTTATTAAAACTATATCTTCCCTGTGATCCTGCAATTGAACTACTGGCTATTTACCCCAAAGATACAGATGTAGTGAAAAGAAGGGCCATCTGTACTCCAATGTTCATAGCATCAATGGCCACAGTCGCCAAACTGTGGAAAGAACCAATATGCCCTTCAATGGACAAATGGATAAAGAAGATGTGGTCCATATATACTATGGAGTACTATGCCTCCATCAGAAAAGATGAATACCCAACTTTTGAATCAACAAGGATGGGACTGGAAGAGATTACACTGAGTGAAATAAGTCAAGCAGAGAGAGTCAATTATCATACAGTTTGCTTATTTGTGGAGCATAAGGAATAACACAGAGGACATGGGGAGATGGAAAGGAGAAGGGAGTTGGGGGAAATTGGAGGGGGAGTTGAACCGTGAGAGACTGTGGGCTCTGAGGAACTAACTGAAGGGGGTGGGAAGTTGGGTGAGCCTGGTGGTGGGTATTGTGGATGGCACGTATTGCACAGACCACTGGGTGTGGTGCATAAACAATGAATTCTGGAGCACTGAAAAGAAATTTAAAAATAAATATTTAAAAAAAGAGTGTGGGTAGTTTCAGATAAGGTTCTTCTATACTTTGGATAAAAGAATACTATAACTTTATTGAGAGCAGTGAGCACAGAGGTTAACACCTCTGGCTCCAATGCTGCACTCTTTAGGTTTAAAATTAAACTCTGCCACAAGGATGGCTTTCCCAGGTTTATCACTGGAAGTTCCATATCCCTGTGGAAATTGCTCAGTTCTGAGCAAACTGGGATAGTTGGTCACCCGACCCTGACACTTGTTAGCTATTTAATCTTGAAGTAATTTTTAAGCCTCTGTATGTTTCAGTTCCCTCATGGTACAATGGGGATCAAATATTTTACTTATCTCACTGGGTTGTTTTAGAATGAAATACAATAATATGCATATGTTGCCTAGCATATTACATAGTAAAAGTTAATATATGAAGCTATTAATAAATAAATAAAACTATAATAATTATTATTCAAAAAATTCATTGGCCTGTTAAAAACAAAAACAAAACAAAACAAAAAACCTTCTTGACTACTGAGATGCTTATATCAGAGGGCTTCCCCCTCGCCTGGGTGTGCCAATATTCATTGTTTATGTACCACACCCAGTGCTCCATGCAATATGTGCCCTCCTTAATACCCACCACCAGGCTTACCCATCCTCCCAACCCCCTCCCCTCTAAAAACCTCTGTTTCTCAGAGGTTGGTGATCATCGGCTCTCATAGTTCTCTCATAGTTTGTCTCCCCCTCCGAATTCCTCCAATTCACTTTCCCTTTCCTTTTCCTACTGTCCACCATGTTATTCCTTATGTTCCAAAAGCAGGTGAAACCATGTGATAATTGACTTTCTCTGCTTGGCTTATTTCACTCAGCATAATCTCCTCCAGTCCCATCCATGTTGATGCAAAAGTTGGACATTCATCCTTTCTGATGGCTGATACAATATTCTATTATATTAGAGGGCTTTGAAATAACTTTCCCTCAGTTTTTACAATAAAAATATTTGGATATATGTTTTAAAAATCAGTGTTGTAGAGCTGCCTAGAGCTGATATCAAGCCCCAGGTTTCTATGTCAAGGACATTAAGGCTCACAGAGTGTTGATCAGGAGAAGCTGACTTTCTTAGAACATTTATTTTCCTCATTCCTTCATTTGCTGCTCACTGCCTATCCCATCACTACAAACTTCTTTCCCCTGGCTTTTAAAGGCCTCTATGAGCTAGCTCCAAACTATGGCTCAGTCCCAAATTCAACCAGTGATCCAACTAAATTTGTTCCTGAATTCCCTTATCACATATCTCATTTCTATCTTGGAATTTTCACTCATGTTGTTGCTCCCTTTCTGAAATGTACCTGCCCATCCTTTCCACAGATATTTACAAGACCTCACTCATTCTCCAAGATCAAATTCGTGTTTCCTCTCTTCCAGAAACCTCTCCATGGCTATTCTGGCTCACACCAACCTCTGCACTCTTGGCCTCTTTACTCTTGACACACTTTACTTCTAAACCATATGATTAAACACTAAGTGCTCCTTTCTTCACAAAACAGTCTTTTCTACTAGTTTATAGACTTCTTGAAAGAATCTACTCTTTTCTTTCCACAACTACTTCCACTCTTCTATTTATCCTACCCTTCCACATCTATTCCATCAGTAAATCCTATTGGCTTTTCCTTCCAAATTATCCTTCCATTTTCACTCTCTTCCCTAGTCAAAACCACCATTGTCTCTCACATGGAAAACTTCAACAGTCTCCCAACTTTCTTCTCTGCTTCTTCCCCTTCTCTCTTCAACCATTCCTCACACAGGATTTGAGGCCCTCTTGAACAAATATGATCCAGAGCACATTGCTCCCTTGCTTCAAATACTTCATTCATACTCAGAATACAAACTAAGCACCTAACTATGGTCTATAAGACACCACATAATATGAATCTCGCCAACCTATTTCATGTTAATCTTTTTCTTAGCTTACTACAATACAACCTTACTGATCTTTCACTCTGACCCTTGAAAGGCCATGCTTGTTTCCACCTTTGGACATTGGCACTTGCTGGTCCCTCTGTTTTAAATATTCTTCTTAGAAATCTTTATATCGCTCCTTCCTGTTCATTATTTAGGTCTCAGTGTAAATATCACATTCTTAGAGAGGCCTTCCCTGAACATCTTCTCTAAAGTAATGCCCCTATCATTTTATCACAACACTATATTTTATTACCTTAATGATATATATCACAATCTAAAATTATCTTATTGCTTTATGTATGATTTTTTGATGTTTGTTGTGGATCTTCCCAGAGAGTAAGAATCATTCTGTTTTTTCATCCTTCTTCCCCAGTCTTAACACATAGAAGGTGTGCAATAAATATGCTTTGAGTGAATGCATGTGTGTGCAAATGAGTGGTTGCATATATGGCCCAAAACTCAGAGCTCAGGGATTGGTATGGAGAATAAAGCCCAATGAACATTGTAGGGGATGAGAACAAAAAGAAGACATTCTGGGAAGTTGTGAACCTTTGGAATAGTTAGCACATTATCTAAATTTTCACATATGAACATTATTATCCAAGCCACTCTTTAAATGCTTTTCTGTTTTTGGAATCTGTGTTTCCTCCTAACTCTTTGACAAATTCTTTTCTGTTTCATTATTTTGGCTTCTCTTCTCCCTTTTACCTCCTAAATATTGATTTCTGCTTTATGTTTTCTTTCTTATAACATCACATTTTGTAGACTTGAATGATGAGAACACCCAAAACCACTAGCCTGGACTTTTTCTCCAACCTCTACATTTCTACCCATAACTACCAACTGTGAAAGCCACACCACCTGCACTTCACCAGGAAATTAAAACTTGACATGCCCTAAAATGAATACTTGCTACCCAAACCTTACCATCCTGCCCTGTTTCTGTACTTGCTCATTTGGTTAATGGTTGCCACTATATACATAGTACGCAAGCTGGAAACTTCAGCCATCTTTTTCTTGCTCAGCCCCTCATCAAAGTTCCATAATTTCTTTCTCAAATATCCCTTATCTCTACCCATTCTGTCCATCCTTATTGCTTCCACCCATTGGCAGGCTCTTATCAGCTCTTGAAACAGCCTCCTAGTTTTCCAACCTCTTAAGACTTATTTCTCCTTATTCCTTCACAGGGCTGCTGTTAGCATTTTGCATGGGATTATTCTTCAATGTTTAAGAGTGCCTTACATATTGATGAAAGTTTTATCATTTCTGACTCCCACTATCTAAATAATAGTATCATCTCCTCCATATCCCAATCATTGTGACAACTAAAAGTATCTTCACACATTTCCAAACAACTTTTAGCATACCACCTTGAGTTGAGGGTCACTGAATAAAATAAGTTTGTGTAACTTCTTCAAGAAGATGCTGATTCCAAGTCTGTCTATAAGCTTCCTACTACCTATAATATTGCTATCTTCTTCGGGCAGATGCTGCTCCCAAATCACTGCCTACAATAAGATTTCTTCACCATCCATCCCCTATCTGTGCCTGGTGACAGTTTACTCCCTCAAATGATCAGTTTGAGTGCTTGCTTCTCTAGGAAAACTTTACTACACAAGTCAAGCAGAGTTTGTTATAGTTTTGTGTGTGTTACTATAGCTCCTGGAAAGATCATATCATCTCCCTTTCACACTAACTGTGAGCTGCCTAATTCATCCTCACATCCTTAGTATCTAGACCAGTAAGTGGAAGAAAATGGACATTTACTATGTTTTGTGAAAATGTTATTGTAAAATAAAGGAAAAACAAAAAAATTAGGAATAAAAAGGAAGGACAAACAGAGGAAGACACAGGAGGAAAGAAAAGATACAGAGTGAAGCAAAAGAAAAAAATAAAACAAGGGAAAGGGGAAAAAATTAAAAAGAGAGAAATAGAGACAAAGAAAGAAATAAAGAGGGAAATGGAGGAAAAGGAAAGCCAAAAAGAGGGAAAAATCAAAGGAAGAAAGAAAAGGGGAAAAAGAAGAAAAGTGAGGGGAAGGAAGGAAAGGGGAAAGAGAAAAGAAGGAAGACTAGAAAGAAGATGGAAGACTGGAGGAAGAAAATGAAAAAGAAGAAAAGACAAAAGGTAAGATGGAGAAAAAATAGAAGGAAGGAAGGAAATAATGATCATAAATAAGAAATGAGAGAAAAAAAGAGATAAAAAAAGATTATGAGAGAGGAAGAGGAAAAATGAGAGAGGGGAGGAAAAAGAAGCAGTGAAAGAAAAAGTTTTAAAGGGTGTGGGGAAGAAGGGAATAATGCATAAAGCAAGATCAAATAGTGAAAGAAAGGAAAGGTCCTTTATCGATCTTGGATATCAACCCTTAGTCTATAGGG